TGCGCTCTTAAATCGCATTAATTCTGCGCATAGCATGCCGCGCTAGCGTGCCTTCTTCAATAAAGCTGCTCGTACTACATACTATTCGTAGGTACTTCTTTATGTACAAAATGTACACGCACAGATGCTTGCACCTAAAATAATTTCTTATTTAAATTTTTTATACGCTTTTATTCGGGATGCTGTGCGCCTGACTGCCGCTGTAATGAGTTTTAAGTTGTTTGAGCTGCTGGATACCTTGTTTAATTAAATGGTATTTTTTATACGTATAGGCAAATTTTTCTCATAAGCTTGAAATGTAGATTGTTGCTTTTCTTATTGTGCATAATGGTATGCAATGATTCTCGACTCGAGCACTGTGGCACGCAGACTTATATCAAATAGTAATGGTTTTTACAGTTGAAGCAAATATCAGATAGATCATATCAGATTTGCGAAGCATTTGATGTATTTAAATTCACCTATTCACTGGCATAATGTTTCAAAATAAAGTTTTGGAAAAAATGGTGCCTAAGTCTTTTTGGCTTTTAGGGCTCGATATATGTATGTATGTTTTTACATACCCACATACTATGGAGCCCACTAGTAATAAGTGAATTGTTATTTTTTGATAGTTCACACAAAATATAAAAAAAAATAATAATGTACGGTTACAACTTTTAATTTTGCTTTATATAGTGCATAGCGTCATGCCAAACGATCTCACCGTTTTGCTCTACGCTCATTGGCTTCGCATTTGGTGGTCGCCGTATGTAGGCCATTTTCTAATGCCATTTTCTTCGCACTCATTTGAACATGTACATACATCATTAGGGTGGGTTAATTTTTTTTCTGCTTCATCGTTTGTTGTCTGATTCTGCAGATAATTCTAGGAGAAAATGGTTAAGTAGAAGAAACCATGGATAGCAAATGAGTTTCGAGTCTGCGCATTTTTTTATGAAATAATTACCTTTTCACGATATTAAATTTTTTTCGCCTTCTCTTAAAACTTTTGCATATAAAACTCCGGATTTGAGTTTCTTACATTTACTTTATTTGTTTGAAACTTGAATTTTTACAAAAAAAAAATACTAACATTAAATAACAAATAACTAAATAAATTGTTAAAACTTGTCAGTATGTGGCGCGTTTATACTTTTGGCACGAGGTGTAATTTTTCATGGTAAATATGGTAAATCCATTAAAAGTTTTATGAACTAAAATATATGCATTTTGTATCTGTTAGTTGTACCAAAAGTTGAATTCTTTGTAAAGTGGCATAGATAAAGGTAATTTTATTTAATTCTAAAAATCGTCTTTTACATTTTCTCTTATAATTATCTACAGAAGCCGAAAAGAAAGATCATGCAATTAGTCGAAAAACTTTCGTCCGAACAATTTTACCCACCCTATTATACATACATATATCTAGTTTCTCAACATACTACTAATTTTTTAATAAATTTGTTATTTGATCAAATCGCCGCATGTTGCTTGTGCTGCTGTTTTATCTAATATCGTTTAATGTTTTAATATACTTCACTTTATGGCCTTTTGCATTTGTTCGTAAAGCTTTTTTTTCTTTTTAATTTTGCTTCGATTCTCCCGTAAATTCTCAATTTGTTTGAGCTTACATATACTCATTCATACATAACTTAATTAAAGAAATGAAAGTCTATAAATTAAATAATCGCTCTATTTTAATTTCAAATGAAAAGTGTGCTTTGAAGGTTTTTCCATTTACTAAAAACGAATTTTATGTATTCATACTTGAGTGTTTTGATTTAAGTAATTTATAATGATATACGTTTGATTAATGTTGGCGGTATTTTGCGGTTCAATCCATTGCCTACTGGAAGTCAAAAATGTATGTATATATGCCTAACTAAATACTAAACTAATAACTAAAAAAAAATTCAGTGTGTTGCAAAGTGAAATAATATTAATAGTAATAGAAATAGTGAATACAAAGTCAACCTATAGTTGATCTACTCTATTTGGATTTTAAATAAACTAGTAATTTATATTCTGATTAAAAATGTGTATATATGTTTCATATTGATTTTTACTGCAATATTACGTACAGTTTTATAAAACGAAACGAACCTTGAAAAAAATGAAATTTTTGACCTAAAAAATAGAATTTCTCAAAATCTTCTCTTTAAAAAAAAATTTTAAGTTTTTCTTTGTAAGTTACTCAGAAGATGAGCCCTATTTAAGATATGAATGAAATTTTACAGTGAAAGCAGCTTTGATTAAAAGTAAATTAAGGCGCACCGTTTTTTGTTAGTTACCAGAGACCAATGAGTGGTAACTTATGTACATATTACCAATTAATTCAGTGTGCCGTTAGTAGTTCTTCCAAAATCCTAGAGTCCTCTTCTTTGGCGGCATCAAACACTGGCGTCTTAAACCCTTCTACAGTGTTTCTAATTTACCCCTTCCTATAATGTTTTTGGTAATTTTGATTGAATAATATTCAATTTTAAAAAAATAAAACGATATTTCAATTTGAATTCAGTTAATATTTTATTTTTCATAAGCAAATACTTTATCGGCAAGTGATGTATCATTACCGGTTGAAAGTTTCCCTTAAATACTAAATTATAACTAGGATCAATCCAGACAGACCCACAAACATTGTGGGTGTATGGAGAAACTATGTCGCCTCTGGAAAATAAAATAAAATAAAAAAGCTCTTTTATTTATTGCAAAACTATAGCTGATTATGCTTTTAAAGAGGAGAGAACGCCGCAGCTTATTTAAAATTACATAACTGTGTAATTAAAGAATTTTTAAATGTAAATTGGGTTATTTTGACCTAATAATTGTAGAAGGGTTGTTGAGAGAATGTCGGTTATTTATTCTCAAAAAACATCTGGTCCAAAAATTCACCATCTCAGTTTGGCGAAGGCTCGACTGCTGCAGAGTAGATGATTTGTACCAAGTATCCTAGAAACACCTGGTTGTGTAGCAAATGTCAGTATTGCACTAGCTGCTGCCATGAGATTCCTAATGTAAGTTACAATTTCCGATATGCTTTGCCCTATAGTTGACCAATTTTACACTCCAAAGAACCGCAGCTCGTTTTCCAAAAACACTTCAGTCTCAACATGCATTCTTGCATAATTCTTGATGAAGTAAATGGTTCCCCATGCCTTTACAGCAGCTTGGCCGTCACTTCAGACACTGATTTGAGATGAACGTCATCATTCGCCTAACAACTAGTCTGGTACGTACTTTAAATATCGCAAAATTTAACAACCGTTGACATGTTAGCTATAGCAGAAAAGCTCATCAATCTATTATTCAGATGCCATCCTGCTTTAGTTCCATTTTCGGCCTTGGTGACGTCGGTATAAAAAGTTTTTATCGAAATACCCCGGAATGTGTCTGGATCTTTCCATTGCTTCTTTTGTAGGAAAACTAACGAGCACTTTCTTTCAAAAAAGACTCGCGGTATCAATTTGTCATTTGGGCCCAAAACAAAAGGACAATTCTTTTGAAAACCTTCAAAACAACTCTCTATGTCCCAAACTCTGATCGCTGTGCCACAATCCAAAAAAATGCATACGACCGATTTTATTCATTGCTGCCGGTTAAGTCGCTAAATCATCAGTTATCAAAACTAACAACGAATTGAGAGGAGACTCTGATGTTCCAATTGAAACGCTCGTAATGTCTATTCCCTTTAACGAGGAAACTTCGGTTTTGACCGAGGTTCTACGCCACCTTACTTCTTAATGTGTGACGGTTGTTCTGACACAGTGCCTTAGCTGGACTCAGTCTTTCTTAAGGTCCTGCATGACAGGCAGAAACTTTCAGTGCTCGATTTACTTTCAATTCGGCGTAAACTTTTCAATCCCAATTTTATTTACCGCACAAACAAGATGGTTGTTTGGGACTGACAGCAACATCCTGTGATCAAAATTATTCAGGATTCATTTTCTACACCGCATTCCCTGGATAGTGTTTCCTTATGCTAGTGAATTATCTTCATCCGCGAAGCTTGTATAGGATCTTGCATTTCCTCTCAAAGGAAGTCCACTACCAGACACCATAAGAAAAGCGAGACAACAACATCACCGACGTAATTTTTTCCCACATTCTGTTATGATAAAAAGGTTTGGATCCACTTTATAATTCTACATACCTACATATCGCACACGATCTTCAAAAGTGACACAACTCAAAATTACACGTTCGTCAGAAAAAAACTCTTTTGTAGCACATGCTTATCATATGGGCAAGGGAGACTCTACCTAAAGTTTTTTCGACAAATTATAACAAAAATTTGCTCCAGCTTTTGCTGAAAAGTAAATAAAAGCTCTGTGTAAATTTTTTGTGCATAATCTCAAAAATGCCAAATTTTGAGTTGAGTCACTTTTGAAGATCGAGTGCGATATGTACATAGACTAAACGTAGTGCTGCCGAATGATCAATTTACATTTAAAGGCTGTGTGGAACTGATTCAGAGGGCTTTTCGCATTCGTGAGTACTTAATAATGGGACTAAACATGATCCTTGAACAGGATCATGATCCTTGAACAGAAAATATGGGAAAGCAAAGTACTTGACTTTCGATACTAAAGTTTATGCCATTGCCTGGTAGATTAAATTCTAGCATTCATTTTTATGCTAGGTAACCCTTATTACTTTTCTCACTGCTTCACTTTAAAGTTTTTATTATCTATTTCTTAAATTGAACTTCTGAAATTCGAAGGTTATAAAAGTACGAGTATAAACATACATATACTAAGATTAAATTAAGCATTATATATCTTCTGGTGTTTTCCCCCGCACTAGTATTCCCTAGAATTGAATGTGAAACGAAAATTGTTTCCTCCGAACTCTTGTTCTTACACTTTTATTATGTGTGTGTAAGGAATAATATTTTTAATTTTATTGCAATACTTTTAATTTCATCTTATGTAGTTACATACTTCTACTACATGAGTAAAAGTTAAAATTAATTCAGTCCAATCATTTCTAAACACCTTTATTTTCATTTCCTCTTACAGATATCAGCTGCTGGTAACTTTGAATTAGAAATATTAGAAATTTCCAATACAAATAGTCACCTACTTACGGGCTATTGCTGTGGTGTTCCTTTAGAAATAAGAAGTACAAAAACAACGGGTAAGTCTATATTTTTTAGCTTAATTTGGCTTACTTTCTAACTCTTACTGCTTTGAATACAAAACGAAAAAAATAATAATTATAGGATGTCCGCCCTGTTCCACCGCCTTTCGTCTATGCCTCAAAGAGTACCAGAGTTCACCGCCCAGTTTATCAATGGGATGTTCGTTTGGCAACAAGACGACAGCGATATTAGGTGGTTCTAGCTTTGTGCTGAGTGAGCCGGGGATGAGTGCGATTGTGTTACCATTCACATTTCGTTGGACGGTGAGTGAATTGCATGAACTTTATTTTGAGGAAATTAAGAACATTTGATTTGCCTTTATGCACATACATATGAATGTGGAACTATGTTTTTATATGTGCTCAAAATCAAACAGGTTTGCAAGTACTATTTTTAGTAAAAATCTAGGCATACATATAAAAAATATTTTATGCCACCCTTTATATGGGTTTTTCTGTTGGTATGTGCTGACTCATTTGTGTGAAGATAAAAAAACAGGGTTTGATTTGATTGATTGATGATTAATGAGTTTAGTAAGAGCACGGTGAAAGGAACTCATAAACAGTCAAATACGGGCCGAAAGTTTGTAAAAGAACAGTTTTTTCGAAGGTGGTCCAGGCATTTTTGAATACAATTCACCAGTTGTGTAGTTGCTACGATTTTTAAAACAAGACTGATCAAGGTTTTTTCTAACTTACAGAAACTTTCATTTCCGGGACTCAAACAAACTATGTCCAGACGTAGGTATTATATTCGTGGCAGTCAAGCTACAAGAAGATGTTGCCCCATTATGACAGGGCCTCTGCCCAAGTTTCAACAAAATTTATATATAATCGACAACAAATTCAATAGATAATCGATAACAAAATCGATAAAAATATCGATAACGAATTCTATAAACATATCGATAACAAAAGCGATACAAATGTCGATTATTATATCGATATGTTCCGAAAATCGTTAAAAATATCGATTAATTTCCGTTGCACTAATTCCATGTGTAATTTGCGTTTGAATTTGCCAATTTACTCCCAACCAACCAACCGCCGCAAAAGAAGTTTCACTTTAAAAAATTAAAATTTTTTCAGTGTTACAATTTTATTATTTCTGAAAAAAAAAATAAAATTCCACATTAAAGTCCGAAATTGCTTTACAAATAATTGAGACAAGAACTGGTTAATCGGCGAAGCTATTTAAACCTTCTGTTTTTTTTTTTAATGAATACTTGAGAATTTCAAAGGGCAGAAAATATTTATACATAATTGTGTGAATAATTGGACCAGGGCGTGAATTACGGCATTTCTGATTAATTGATTACTCGTTTCGAGTCGGAGAGAATAAAGTGATAGCGCCCAGTAAGAAATGGAAGCACGCAAGCCTTACCAGCAACCTATTCTTCACTCGGCGTCCTCAAAAGTCATGGCCGCTTTATGGAAATAGGAATTTAAAACGCCTCAACAAATAAGGTAGATACGTTGAATGTTGACTAATCGCTAAGAGTAGTTCAGCATTCTTTAATACCTTCGGCACCACATTATTTTACAACTTCTTTTAAAATCGAATTACATTGGGTATCAAATGTCGTGTTTCGGGCTTAGAGCTACATTTCGTACTATTTACTCATGAGATATTTTTAACAAGTTCGCTGCTATTTGTTTCGAAAATAAGTTTTTATGCGTAATGTAACTTATTAAGTCATTTGCTTTGGTAATCAGTAGCAGTCCGTTATGACTTTGAATTATCTTAATTTGTCCACTCTGCAAATATGTTTGCATCTCTTAAAAGTCAATTGAGTTTAATAAGCAAATCTTTTCTTTACATCTTCTTTACTACAGCCTAGGATAACTTAGTTCACCCGTAATTTTATTACACTTTTTATAGCCAAAGTCGACTAAGGTCATTCAAGCGTATTTCTGTTTTATTTTCTCAGTGTAGTTTCATAGCCAGAGTTTACACTTCATGCGACAGTAAATTTTACAAAGAAAAAATTTTATATATTCGCGAAACTATGGGCCAAATATGGTGAAACTACGTTTTTATTTTTTCTCTCTGACGTCAGGATCTTTTTTAAAGGACTTTGAAATTTAAAAAATTTAATTAAATAATTCAAAAAATTATTAAAAAAAAATGTTGTGCAATGTAGAAAAACGGTATGTCTATCCAGTTAAAGAGAAAATTCTGGAGAATAAGGCCGATTAAATCTTTTGGGGCATAAGGACGATTATCACTGAATATCGTTGAAATTTTACAATAATAATTTTCAAGAAAATTATATGTTAATCTTTAATGTACTCGACCACATCCTAGAACTTCGGCCTTCTAACTTTATTCGCTTAAAAAAAATAAAAATAATTGAAAGGACATTTTCAATACATATTCAATGGTTTTTAATTCAACACAATTTTCTCTTTCATTTGGTACCCATACTGTTTTTCTACATTGGAATGGTTTTTAAAAAAAAAAATTTGAAATTAATCATATCTTTGAAACTACAAAATCCTTATAAAAAAATATTGACGTCTGAGAGAAAAGCTAAAAACGCAGTTTTACTACATTCGGCCCTTAGTTTTGTGAGTATACTGATTCCATCATGTGCTTCGATTTTCTATTTTTTTTGTCGCACGGTGTAATAAACAAAACTAACTTGCCGCTTTGTCAGGGAAACCCCGATAGACTATTACATCACAGTTCTTAGATGAAAAATAAACAAAATTTGGCAAATGTCGGCAAACAAGTATGTATATAATTTGTGAATTACTTACTCACCTTCTATTGTATAAATTTATGAAAGGCAAAATACAATATTCGTTTTATTAAAACACCTCCATTTAATCCACTGTTCTCCGTCAATCAAACTAGACTTTGGCAGTAAGTAATTTTGTCTGAGTTTTTCGGGTTGAAAAATTATGTATGTATAAGTAATGAGATTGATTGAATGCTACGCATATTTTTACGGCACAGCGTGTAATTAATTTTTTATCTATCCGTTTTTTTTTTTGATTTTGTTTTTGTTACTTCAGCTTCACCATGAATTCGGTAAAATACACAACTGATTACTTTTAAGCTTGTTAAATATTTAAGTTGGCAGATACTTTTAGTATAAAGGTTGTTTAAGTGAAGTTGTTTTCTTTTTTAAAAGCCGGTTGTAAGGTGGGAATAGTTGTAGAACTTTAATAGGATGATAAATACACTCTAACAATTTAACTACAAGTATTTCTAGCGAGAAATTCATAGAGTACTAATAAATATGTATATTAGGGTGATTGGCTCGATCTTTCTTAACCGGATTCCACCGATTGTTTTATATCAAGAGGAGATTTTTTTAAATTTTGATGTTTGGAATATCGAACAACCCGCATTTTTTTATGGAACAAATCGATTTTTTTACTTCATACAAATTTTGACATCTAAGTATAAGTTTTGAGTTTTTCGAAGTTTTCAAGACTATCTACCGTTTAAGTGAAACCCCCGAATAGTTTTAATATTATATCGTTATTATCGTCGTTATTTGGTGGTGAACAATATATCATATTTGATTCCAATAATTGAATGCTTAAACGTTTAAGAATTCGGCTACGGCGGCAATAGCAATACCTAAATCCGTAAAGTCTGAAAAAATGCAAAAAATCATAAAAAATAAGTTAAAACAGCACCAAATGTGAATTTTTTGCTGACTTTTATTTGTTTTACGTTTGATATAAAAACAACTTTGAACTTATTTATCCGTGCTCTTTTCTAAATAAAAGCTGTCTTTACTGTCTTTTAGATTTATTGTAATTTTTTGGTCGTGACTTCATACTAACGTAAGCATTTTCACTGTATGAAACTATGTACAATGGTTTATTCGACCTTTTCTTAATTTAAAAACCGGTAACCGCTGTTTTACAAATTGGGATTTTTCGAATAACTTGAAATCCGGTTTTGGAAAAGAGGCAAATAATCGAACAACCTAATGAACATCCATATATACATATATATGTATGTATGGTTAGACGAAAGGTCTGTAATATGTTTGGTCATCCTTTACAGACATAAAACTCATATTCACTTTGATACAAATTCTTGCAAACGTCAATAACTTTCCGCTTTTTTGTGTGAAGTCTAAAGAAGCAACAAAATTAAAACTTCTCAAAATGCGCTGAGTCACAATTTTGTAATTTGAATTAAATATTTTTTGAACCGAAACACTAAAAAAAAATCAAATTAAAACGGATTAATCCGCCCATATTGCTCGTCCAACAATGTTGGCCCAACAAACGAAACTATGAACACAAAACAACAATTATTTTCAAGCGTTAGAGCAGTGACTATAAAAAAGTTAAATACCGAACGAAAATGCAACATCAACATCTCAGGGTAAACAAAAACTAAGTAATTACATTTTCTACCGGTTGCCGTTAATACTCGTCTTCAACTCTACAAGGCTCTTTTACTTCATTTTTGTTTGATTTTGTGTATGTTTTCATACGCACATTATAGGCTCGTCAGAATGGGTCCAAACCAAGGCATATCAAACGGGTAGTAATATTAGAGCAAAAACAACATTTGCGTGTATTTTGTTGTTGCTTCTGGTATCGAAAGTGTCAAAAACTGTTCTGAATTATTTCTTGTATATCAAAGCGTGCCATGTGAAATACAAAAAAAAACAAAAAATAAAAAATTTAAATTGGAAAAAAATATAAGTTGTTGCAACCTTCTTTTCTAGTAAATTTGTTTGCTTCTCGAAGCAGTGATCCATCCTTTGCAAGGCCCAGTAATCAGCGGTTATGCTGCTAAGTTCGGCGAACGTTCCAAAATCTGCTATTCAATCACTTGTTTTGCATGGAAAAAGGTTTCACATGCAAATGGATTTTAACAATTTAGAATTTTTGGGAGAAAAATTTAAAATATTTGACGTTTTCGAGACCAAATAATTTGAAAATAAATAAGCAAATCAATTACACATTTCGGAGACTTCTTTGTGGAACGTTAAAGCTTATCCAGTAATATAAATAGTAATTCCATTAATTATGGTGTAGATATATGACAAGGAAAGGACAGTTCTTCTCTTTTCCAAAAAGCTCAAATTTAATATCTATAGATCCCGTTACATACCCTCTTTCTACGCATCTTTGGATATTTGGCTTCCAGCTCAGTTTGGTGCCTAATACAACGTCCAGGTACTTTGCCTTAGAAAATGATATAAAGGTTGTTCCATTGAGGGAAAGGAGTCTGAGTTATGTTACTTCCCGTTTTTTGATAGCAGAATCAGTTCCAGTTCGAC